ATACAGGTTTTTTGAACACTTTTCAAAAACATGGAGTTTTCACAAACGAAAATTGATTTTCTAAAAATTCCTTTTCAAACATGTTTATTTCATCATTTAGAAACTTTTTCCAAAGTTTTGCTATTTTTGGAATTGATTTGATATTTTTAATGTATTTTTAAAATCAGCCCAAAAACCTATCATATGCCATATATCAGTTTGCGGTCGATCGCCACGGTCGACCGCCACGGTCGACCACCAGCGGTTATTTTTTATAGTCTGTATTTTTATGACTCGCGGTCGATCGTGAATCCATCAGAGACTTTTGCGGTCGACCGTCGCGGTCGACTGCCAGCCTTTATTTCCTATGCTTAGCCTTTTTGTGCCTCGCGGGGACCGCGAGATTTCCACGGTCGACCGCCGATCTCATAATTGCTTTCCAACGGCTATTTTCTGATTTAATTTTCTGGGACTGTTTTGGTCTTTTTAAGTTTGTTTTGGCTGATATTTTGAGTGGGTATAAATACCCCATTGCTGCTCTCTTTCAAACAACTAAGTTTTGTTTTATAGTGAAGTTTTAACAAAAATCTTAAGTGTGTTTAAAAAGCTGTTTAAGCTGTTTCTGATCATCTGCTTTAAAAGAAGTCTGCTACTACAAGAAGAGGCTTTTCATTTTTACTGAGGATTCCATCCTCTTAATCCTCTACTGTTCTTCTTGTTTATTGAGAAGTTTTCTTAACTCGTCTTTTCATATAGCTTATAATTTCATTTTCACATCTTAGCTATATTTATTGAGTTACATATTTTTCATTCACTGTTATCACACACACAATATTGAGCTTAATATCTTCATACTATATAGTGTGGGTTGTGGGGTGTGATTTAGTGAGTGTGAGCTTCATTTGCGTTCTCATTTGTTGTTGAGAACAAACCATTGTATTTAATCTTCATTTGTGAGTATCACTTGTAATACACTTGTACACCGAGAGAAGTGTGAGGAGAGAGACGGGGTCGAATCCAATAGGAGTGGCGTCGGTTGACGAACCTAGGGAGAGGTGGAATCCAATAGAAGTGTGATTGCATAGTGTGAGAGTTTTCGGTAAGCTTGTAAACCGAGTGTGTAGAAGTTCCGGCTTCCAAACCGGATTGTGATAATGGAGATCTCCTCGAGGTGAGGAGCGGGGACGTAGGTCGTGGTGACCGAACCTCGTAAACATATCGTTTGTTTGTGTTTTGCTTAGCGTATTTTTTATTTGTGCTTATTCATATCTTTCTTGCCCATATCTATCTTATATCATTCGTACAAGAACAAATTAATCAATATTATTTTAATTAGCTTTTAATCAAGATTAGATTAGTATAAGACCCTAATCACCCCCCTCTAGGGTCTAACAGTAGCATAGACTTAAGGATAGTATCGGAGTAATCCATGTTCAAATGTTAATGGTTGCAAATTTCTAAAACGGATTATATGTTGCTCAATGAGTCCAAGTTTGGCCCATAAAAGAGTCGTCAATCTACAGAGGCATATTAGAGTATAAAGTTATTACCCTCAACACTCATCATAACTTTATAGTTTTGATATAACGGTGGGACCTTAGGAAGTCATTCATGATGTATGTTTGTATAAGTGTGTGTGTAAGGGCTTGTTTAGCAACTCTAAGTTAAACTGGTTTAGTGAAACAAGACAATTTTAAGTCATGATTCTAGGTTGCAAAAGAAATCAGATTAGGACTTAAACCTGATATTGTAAAGCTAATTTTTTTGGGTTTGACTTTAGTCCATCTCCCTAAAAAAAGAGTTAAAACTGATTTAGACCAGACCTGATATTTTGGAAGAGTTGTCAGATTGATCTTGATATTCCGATATTATGTTATATAAAGTTGAATTACTACACAATAATTTCTTAATCAGATTCTTCAAAAAAAAAAAGTTTTAATCAGACAATTATAATCATTTTCAAGAAACATGTAGCTGACTACCAGATTACCAATCGCTAATAATTTGTGGGGTGCTTAATTGCTAACCTATTCATTCGGAAATATGTCCAAATAGCGGTGGGTAGCAAATTAACTGAATTTGATCAAACTAATTACGAAGATAACTTGATTCTAAAGATATTAGAATCAAATTGGGATGTAAAGAAGGTGAAAGATTCACGATATGAATCCAAATGTTTAAAAAATAATTTTCATCATTTCTTTACTAAACATCCAAACATATAATACTGTATTTTTTTTTCAGTTCTTTTAGTTCACTCGACTTATTTTCCCTTCACTTTTTTATGCAGTGCTATTCTAAGAGTGTGTTTCGTAAATTTGAACTAGTTTTCTTTAGTTCAAGTTGTAGCCTCTGAACTAGTTTTCTTGTGGACCAATTTGTATAAAGTTGTATAACCTTTGAACCAGTCTTCTTGTGGACCAATTTGTATGTGGACAAACTCTCACCTAGTTAAGTAAAAATTAGTCCACACCCAATCCTATTTTGAAATTGCTAAACACACCCTAATAATAATATTTTACTGCACGTCCCCTTGAGTTTCCTTGTTTTCTAATCTATCATGTTTATATATATATATATGGGTATGCTTGGTACCATACCAATGATAAATTTTGTGTTTGGTAATAATGTGGCATAATGCTCTCTACTCATTCAAATGATAATATTTTACCTTGGCCTATTTAAATGAGTAGAGAGAATTATGCCACATCACTACCAAGCACAAAGCTAACTGGAAAACGTCATATTTAGTTTTCTACAACCAACTGGAAAACGCTTACTTTAGGCTTAAGGTTCACACATAAAATTAGAATTTTTTTGTAACCCCTTATTTTGTGAGATCTACACATGCATGTAATTTAAAATCTACATGGCTCGTGATGAATATTCTCTTCTCTACAAAGCTAACTGGACCCCCCACACCGAAACTTAAACAAAGAGAAAAGGACGAGTTCTAACCTCTTCTCTCGTCTACTTTGCTTGATCCTGGCACCTTCAAGAGGGGTATTTTGTTAACAGCAACAGATTATTTGGAATTTGCAACAATGGAAACCATTTTTTTTAAATCAACATAGGCCAAGGTAATTTAAGAAAAGCGATTTAAGGGTTGTTTTTATAGAAATCCCTTATATTTTAAATATCTGAAATGAGTCCATCCAACCGCTAAAATTTCAATTAGATGCTCAAATTTTATAATTAGTTGTTTCAAATTAGCCTCTCTTAGAATTTATGTTCAATGTGCTAACCTTGTTTGGATTAGGGGGTTATGTATTAATCTCACTAGATGTGCACCCCAAATCAAACGAGGGAGAGAGCCGTTGTATAATGGTTTAGGAGATGAAGCTAACTAATATTGGGGAAGAAACAAGTTTTAATGGGTATGAGCTTTAAATGGGTATGGAGTGTAAATGAATTCAATTGAAACACGTATGGATAAACATAGGTAAAATTAATATTTCATGTTAAGTGGGAAAATGTTTGTAAGGACAAACATGCAGGTGGGTTAGGGATCATTAACACGCATAACTTCAATCAAGCTCTCCTTTCTAAATGGATATGGAAAATTTTGGATAGGGAGAGTCTCATCAGTAAAATTATCTTATCTATCTACTCTTCTAACAATTCTAATCCCATCTCCAACCCCCTAAGAGTTATGCATCCAGGTTCATCCATGATTTATATTCTATTCACCCAATCTTCTTTAACTTTGTAAGATGGGTTATTAGTTCTAGTAAGACTTGCAAATTTTGGACAGCTACATGGACATGAGACGGTTCCCTACGCAGTCTTTTTCCCAAGGCTTTTAGATTGGCCTTTTTCCCCTCAAGTTCTGTTTTTCTCCCAGTGTGTATGGTATCAAAATCACTGGAGATGGAAACCAATTCTCAGAAGAGGTATCACTGAAGAAGATAGAAGGGATATAGCTGACCTTCATTTGCTTATTGACCAAGTCATGCCTTTAACAAACAGACAAGACTCTGTTCAGTGGCCATTCAACTCAACAAACTCTTTCACTGTGAAATCCTTCTACTCTCTTCTCAATAATGGAGACATTGTCTCTCCCCTTCATAATTTTATTTGGTATTCCTCTGTTCCATTAAAGGTCAAAATCTTCCTTTGGATCCTAATTTAGAAGAAACTCCAAACTAAAGGTAACCTGCTTAAAAAGGGTTGGAGAGGTGATTCACTTGCCCTTTTTGCAACCAGGATAGGGAGACTCGTGACCATCTCTTCTTTTCATGCTCATTATCTTCAACGGTCTTGTCCATCCTCTTCCCTTCTTCTAATCTCAGTCAATGGCCAAAGGAGGTATTAAGTATGATTTATGATAATGATATATTCCTGGATAACCTCAATCAAAGAATGTTATGGAGGGTCTTATTTCCATGCCTCTGTTGGTGTATCTGGAGCAATCGAAATAACCTCATTTTCAACAATACTTCTGCTACTCCTCTATCTATTGCCTCTAACGTAGCTCGTTTTACATTATTCTAGACAGGAGCCTCTAGCAGCAAAAAGCCCAGTGTCTCCATAGGGCTACAGTTGAATTGGGCCTGCAGAACATGGCCAAAGCTAACGAGGAAGAAGTTCTTGTGGAAAACTTTGCTCAAGGAGACTAGCTTTTAGCATAAACTTCCACTTCCAGCTCTCAGTTCTTTTAGTTCCTAGATCCAGTGGTCTTTTTTTCAGATGTGTGTACTTTTCTCTTACTCCTGGAGATACACTGCTCTTCTGTTATAGTATAGTATTATGTTTAGCTTATAGTTTCCGTTAGAAGCTTGGTGATGGCTGCCGTGTTATCTGTCTGGTGGTTATTTTCTGGCAGCCTTTCCATCATTAGGATGTAACCAAGAGGAAAGGAACTCACTTCCCTTCCCTTTCATTCTCTCACCTAGTTTCCCTTAACTTCGGTTATCCCTATTGAAATCCAAACCCACCCTAAGAGTATCTACGCAAAATCTCCCATAAGGACAAAAACCCAGCGAATGCGGTGGGTAAAGTTGGACCCACCCCCTCCTTTGGATCCCCTTTTCCAATCCCATCTCCAAATTCCTACTGCCTGCTCAAGCCTCCTCCACTTTCTCAAAAGAGCAGCAAGAAGAGAGAGAGAAAGATAGGGAGGGAGGATGTCAGACTGGGGCCCAGTGTTCGTAGCCGTAGTCCTCTTCGCGCTCCTCTCCCCCGGCCTCCTCTTCCAGATCCCCGGAAGGAGCCGCCTCGTCGAGTTCGGAACCTTCCAGACCAGCGGCGCGTCGATATTCGTGCACTCCGTCATCTACTTCGGCCTGATCGCCATCTTCCTCCTCGCCGTCGGCGTCCACGTCTACATCGGCTAGCTTACCTTGCGATCTCCATTTTAATTTCACGCTATTTTAGATCAATTGTTGAGCCATCGAAAAGGTATTTATATTATTTTAAAAAGATTTGAGGGAATATGTGGAGAAAATTTGGGACTTACATATTTGTGCGCTCACCGTCACCTGGGCAAAATATAGTATCTAAATGGTTGTGATTAATTATGAATGTGACTTGTGATTAAAATGTAATCTCTTTCTTGTTTAATTGTGACGATGAAGATCTGAATCCAACATAAGGAACCCTTTTATGTTATTCCTTTTGGCTTTCATACGAATATATGTATCACTGGCTGATGAATGAATGAACCTGAAGATTCATATTTATTTTAGGGAAAAATGCTTCCAGCCCCCAAAAGCCAAGTGAACGTGTTTCCCACCCCCAAGACTTGGTCAATAGGTGTTTTACCCCTAAAAATAAAAATTTTGTTCTCTGAGCCCCCAAAACACAAAACCCAAGACATTAAAACATGTGAAGACCATAATACCATTCTCTCTCTCTTTCTTTTTTTATTAAAATATGATGATGATTATTTTATTATTTCTCTCTCTCTCTCTCTCTCTCTTTATCATGATGTACCAAGAGGATCTTTAGATAGGTAACCCTAACAATTAAACCCGTAACCTTAACAATTAAACCCGTAACCTTAACAATTAAACTCGTAACCTTAACAACAAATCCGTAACCTACACAATAAATCCACAACCTTAACAACAAACCCTTAACCTTAACAACCAACCCGTAACCTTAACAATCAACCCGTAACTTTAACAACCTCCCAATACAAACAACCAAAATAATAAAAAATAAAAATAATAAAATAATCATCATCAATCATTTCAACTATCCTCTTGGTACATCATGATAAAGAGAGAGAGAAAACAAAAATAATAAAATAATCCCCATCATATTTTAATAAAAAAAGAAAGAGAGAGAGAGAGGATTCATAACCTTAACAACAAACCCTTAACCTTAACAACCAACCCGTAACCTTAACAATCAACCCGTAACTTTAACAACCTCCCAAAACAAACAACCAAAATAATAAAAAACGAAAATAATAAAATAATCCACATCAATCATTTCAACTATCCTCTTGGTACATCATGATAAAGAGAGAGAGAAAACAAAAATAATAAAATAATCCCCATCATATTTTAATAAAAAAAGAAAGAGAGAGAGAAGGGTATTATGGTCTTCACATGTTTTAATGTCTTGGGTTTTGTGTTTTGGGGGCTCAGAGAACAGATTCTTTATTTTTAGGGGTAAAACACCCATTGACCAAGTCCTGGGGGTGGGAAGCATGTTCACTTGGCTTTTGGGGGCTGGAAGCATTTTTCCCTTTATTTTATTTATCGAGTTTCAATGAAAATCTTAGTCGGTGTTAGGGGTGAGCACGGTTCGGTTCAAACCGAAAAAACCGACCGAACCGATCCGAACCGACCCGAAAAAGGCGGTTTTAAGAATAAGGCGGTTCGGGTCGGTTTGACAACATTTCAAACCGACCCGACCCGAACCGACCGAATCCCAAAACTACCCGTTCGCGTTTTACCCGACCCGTCCCAATTCCCAAACCCTCACCTCAAGTCTCTCAACCCTAGCTCTTCGTTTCCTCTCTCATTCCCAAATCTGAAATCCCCCAGCCGCCGCTACTCATCCCAAATCCGACAATCCCTCTCTCTCGCTCTCTCTCACTCTCCTCAGGGCCACGAGTCCAGCAGCCTCGATCCCAGCCGCCGCCTCTCTCACTCTCTCTCTCACTCTCCTCAACCGACAGCCGCCACCCGCGAGCGCTCCGCGGTCTTCAATTCTTCATGGATCTCTATCTTCGGCTCAGGATCAGGCTCAAGATCTATCTCTAGCTTTGGGGGGACACCCGCACCCGTCGCCGTCGTCGAGGCCAAGGTATAACATCTCAGTGATCTCTTTTGCTCTTCTTCAAGCTTCCTTCTCAGTCAATGGCTTTCATGGAAGAACACAGGTAAAAATAAAGTTGTGATCTTTATGAATTCAAGTGTCTCCATAATATTACATGAAGGTTGCAATTCTCCTCAACTTACTATGAGTTTTGAGTGGAGAAAATCTGAATATGCTTTAAAGTAATTTTCTTGCTATATATAATGTTCTGATCTAGCTCTTGGTATATGCAGTTCAGTTCATGAATATGCTTTAAAGTAACTTTCATGGAGTAATTTTCTTGTATATTGCTTTTGAAGGGATGGGAAGTATCGGCCTCAGATTACTATAAAACTTAAGTCCCTTGTATTACAACAACAATAATCCTCTCCTTGTGCTCACAGCTCATCATCCATAGACTTTATCCTCTCGTGCATTTTAATATATAAATTTCTCTTGTTGTATGTAGATCAGAAGCAACCACATTCTTTTTTTAGAAAGAAGTGGAAAATAGTTTATCATGAACACCATTATAATGAAAAAAACATATCTAGAGTACACCACAAGCAAGCATAACATACAATTCTGGACTGTTTGTTTACGCAAGGAGCCTCAAAATCTTGAAATCTTTTCTACAAAACCTAAAGTAAATGTAGAAATTCTCAATTCCTTTTTTAACCGATACTTCGCTCACGTCCCTAGCCAGGCCTATAATTATACAAGAAAATTCTCAACTTTAAGAACAACATTGTGATTTACATTTTGTACTTGACTGCAGGATCTCGGCTCATGGTGCTTCATTGGCACGGTTGCAGACATGTTGTACCTCGTTCTGTGATTTACACTTTGGCCGTGATTTACATTTTGTACCTCGTTCTGTGATTGTTCTCTTCTATTTACAGTTTTCATGTTAGTATGAGTATGTAAACTTTAACTCTACATTCCTGTTGTTGATGTACTGATGTCTTCTCTGTGATTCCTGTTGACTGTATTTTTGATACCTCAGTTGTATGTTGCCTCAAGTTAGAAGTGCTGTAAATCACATTTTGTACCGAAGTGTATTCCTGTGATCCCTGTTGACAATGTATTTTTTGATACCTTAGTTGTATGTTCCCACTTGCTTCTATATTCAATTGGTGCTTATTTCATTTGCTGCTTTGTTTATTTGCTTGGATGCTTGGATATAAACTCTTGGGACAAGCAATATTTGTGCTTTTGATTGTTATACTTGATGAAAGTTAGAACCGAGTTATACTTGATAAAGTTAGAACCGAACAAACCGAACCGAACCGCACCGAACCGATTTGTAACGGTTCGGTTCGATTTTGAATTATAGGTGGTTCGGTTCGGTTGTTCAAATTTTGGTAAAAACCGACCCGAACCGAACCGTGCTCACCCCTAGTCGGTGTTTGTGAACACCAAAAACTTGCAGGTCAACGTTCGGAATGCATCCTAGTAAATCAGTGGAGGTAAACTTCTAATGATTTATTTTACATATTACAAGACTATCCCCTCCTTTTTTTTTTTTTACATATTTTTTTCTAAATTTCTTTGTTGACGTGAAAGCCTTTAATTTCTTAATGCAAAATATCCAAGGTAAACTTTCTTCTATGGTTCGTAATTTGCCGAGACCAGAAATTAAAATTTATATTCCAATTTGGATTCAACTCGTATTTCTATTTCTACTAGTTTTTACACACGTGCAATGCACGTGATTTAATATCATGAGTATTTTTGGCAGTTTGTGCTTATTTTTTTTTAAACTCTTACATCCCGATTATTTTTTTATGTTTGTTTAAATGGGATACACCCAATTTAAATTTTCATGTTGATATTTGAATTGACAAAAAATAAATATAATTTAAAAATAATTTGAATTTTCATATTATTTTTGACCGATATGAAACTAAGCTTTATTTGAGAAAGTATAGCATTGCAAAGTAAAAAATATTAAAATAGTGTTATACAAGGAAGGTGAATATTTAAAACCAATATAGCAAAATGATTGATTTAAAGTATGTTAAAACGATGCAAAAGAGAATATGAAGTTTATTCCTAATCATTGATAGACTTCATAAAAAATATAAATTAAAGATTAATACTAACTCTAGTATAATTTTATATGATAAAAACATCCACATAAGAATATAAAAATACTGAAAAAATTCATGAAACTCCCTTCTAAAGATTCCTAATTTCACTCAAAATAATTAAAATATTCTATAAAATATTCATAAAATATTGTTTTTATTTCTTCTATTTTATTTTTTATTGAGTTAAGATCAATCCTTCTTCAGGTTTATCATTTATCATTTCTCGGACAATTCTAGAGTATTGTCTTCATCATCTACATCAATTGTGACATCAGGCTAATTTTGTATTTTTATGCTATTATCTTTCCTAAGGCTCGTTAATTTTTTATCATCTCATTTAACTTTACAAAGAAGTCAAATGTACTTATGATGTTCAACACAAACTGCTCAAAATATAGACTTTGATTTTTTTTCTATTTCAATGAGAATAAATATTAATTTCATATATATAAAATTCTTTGTGTTCCTAATTTATTACTTAAATAAATTAGAAGCTATCTCTTTATTTTCCTCTAAAATGAATTCTTCTGATGTGCATCCAATAAGAATTTCTGTTATTTCAATAATATTACCTTTGCTCTATCCCTGACATTTTCCATAAAGATCTAAACTAAATACCTGCATTATTCATTACCAATTTCTCTTAGATTATAATATTAATATTTAATTTAAAGAACACAGTATGGAATTTATGAATACTTACTAATTTTTCTTATGTCTTTCATGAAGATTTTTTCTTTGATTAGGTGTAGGCTGTCTAAAAATCACAATAGATAGCTTATCCTCCATCAAACACCGATGATGGAAGTTACAATCTGACGACTTCCAGAAGGCTACAATTTGAAGACTTTCACGTAGATCGCTGAAGGTTACAATCTGACGACCTTCACGACAACCGATGAGAGCTCTAGTTCAACAACATTCACAATCAACATCGGGAGTTACAATCTGACGACTCTCATATTCTCAAGGAGCCAAGACGAAGATTACAAGACAATGATCTTTGCAACGCTATGACAAAAGAGATTACTTTGTGATAATCTCTTCAAGACAAGACGCGGAGGTCCTCCCCGTGTGCCAACATCAAAACGCCAGGGTTGAACCCGCGTTACAACATCAAAACGCGAGGGTCGAACCCGCGTTATAACATCAAAACGCTGGGGTCGAACCCGCGTTACAACATCAAAACGCGAGGGTCGAACCCACGTTACAACATCAAAACGCTGGAGTCGGACCCGCGTTACAACAAGCGAAACGTGAGCGACCCTCGCGTTCTGGATGTTCAGTCAACACCCAACCTCGCGTCTCAATCCTAAGACGCGAGGTTAGGATCCTGAACGCC